ACAAAAGGATAGAGAAGCTGTGATATATTCACACAATGGAATAGAATGCAGTACTGAAAACCAAGGAACTCATGAAATACACAAAATGAGTGATCCTGGAGGACATAATGCTGAGTAAAATACCTCAGTTAAAAAAGAACAAATACTACATAATGCCACTGTTATAAAACAGGACTGATATTGAGGTTGGGAAGGCACTAAGAAAAGTGTGGATAAATAATGTACATTGCACTGAAACAAATGAGGAAAAGAATTGCGTAAAAGGAACGTATGAATAGGTAGTATTTGCTTCACAACAGTCAAGAATTGGGCCAATTGGAAGCATCAGTATGGGTGGTGAAGAGATGAGATAGTTAACTGTTTTAGTTTACTTGGTTTCACAGTCAACACTCTTGGTAACAGAAGCCAGGAAATCAAGAGACAAATTAAATTGGGAAAGTCAGCTGTGAGAGATCTCTCAAGAGTACTGGAGAGCAGTGATGTCAAGATGGAGACTAAGGTGTGCCTGATCCAGGCTATAGTCTTTGCAGTTCGTGCTATGCATCAGAGAGCTGGACAATGAATAGGGATGATAGAAAGAAAGTTGAAGTCTTTTAGCTGTGGTGCTGGAGAAGAGTGTTGAATATACCATGGACTCCTAGGAGAACAAACAGGTTTGTCCTGGAGAGGGTGAAGCCAGAATGCTCCCTGGAGTCAAGGATTCTGAAGCTTCATCTGACATACTTTGAGCATGTTGTAAGGAGGGACTGGTCTTTGGAAAGGGACATCATGTTTGGAAGAGTGGAGGGACGGCGCAGGAGAGTAAGACCCTCAATGAAATGGATCGATTCTCTGAGTGGAGTGGTGGGAATGAGAGTGTTTGAGACGGCGAGGTTGGCACAGGATAGAACAGCATTTAGGGCTCTTGTACATAGGGTCGCTTTGAGTTGCAAGTGACTCAATGGCACATAACAACAACAACAATAAAATAGTAAGAGTGATAATATAATAATAAGAGTGGACTGGGGTGAGTGTGGCGTGAGTACACCAACAAAATAATTTTCTTTTTTTCAAAGAGAAAAATGAACTGAGGGAAGGTGGCAGGGAAGAAAATGTGCAACAATGAATGAATGTAAATCCAAGTTCTCTATAAACTTTCACTAAAAATAATTTTAAAAGTAAAATAAACATTACAAAACAGCAAAACAAAACAAACCATTGTACTTGCATGCTGCATAGTATTCCATTGTGTGAATGTACCAGAATTTCTCAATCCATTTGATTGTCACTGGGCATTTGGGATGTTTTCATATTCTTTCTATGGTAAAAATGCTGCTATGACCATTGGGATACAACTCTCTGTGCCTCAGTTCTCATTTTCCCAGAGCATATTCCAAGGAGTGGACTAGTTGGGTTGTGTGGGATTTCTGAAGGAAAAAAAAAAGGTGTGAGACTTGTGCATTAAAAAATGCAAAGTATAGTGAAATTAAAATCTAGAATAATAGACATCACATGCAAGGATGTCAGCTTTTATGTTTACTCATTTCATTGTAAGTAGTATTTCTTTTCGCTATTGCTTGCTGAAACTGAGGAGGACCTGAAGTGCTTGCTGCAGAAGGTCAAGGACTGCAGCCTTAGATATGGATTGAAGCTCAACATCAAGAAAATAGAGATTCTCACCAATTGGGCCAATTGGCATTATGATAGATGGTGAAGAGATTGAAATTGTTAGTTTGCTTGGCTCCACAATCAACACTCTTGGTAACAGGAGCCAGGAAATCAAAAGACAAATTGCATTGGAAAAGTCTGCTGTCAGGACCTTTCCAGAGTACTGAGAAGCAATGATGTCAATCCTGAGACTAAAGTGTGCTTGATCCAGGCAATAGTCCTCACAGTTACTTGCTATGTGTCAGAAAGCTGGACAATGACTAGGGATTATAGGAAGATAATAGATGCCTTTAAGTGGTGGTGATGCTAAACTTTTTGAGATTCATGAACCATGTTGTTGTTGCTGTTGTTGTTATGTGCCGTCGAGTCGCTAGTGACTCATAGCGACCCTATGTACATCAGCCCTAAACTCTGCTCCGTCCTATGCCAATCTTACTGTCTCTGACACACCCATCCCGATTACCCCGGTCACTGAATCAATCCACATCATACAGGGTCTTCCTCTCCTGTGCTGTCCCTCCCTCCTTCCAAGCATGATGTCCCTTTCCAAGGACTGGTCCCTCCTTACAACATGTCCAAAGTATGTCAGACGAAGCCTCAGAATCCTTCCCTCCAAAGAGCTGCCCGGTTTAACCCTCTCCAGGATGAATCTGTTTGTTTTTTTGGCAGTCCATGATATCCTCAGTACTCTTTTCCAATACCAAAGCTCAAGGGCATCAATTCTCCTTCTATCCTCCCTAGTCATTACCCAACTCTCTGATGCATAACAAGTGATTGAAAAGACCATGGCCTATATCAGACATAGTCTCCAGAGAGACACCATTGCTCTTCAATACTTTAGAGAGGTCCCTAACAGCAGACTTTCCCATCACAATACGTCTTTCAATTTCCTGGCTTTTGGTTCCAAGAGTGTTGACTGTGGAGCCAAGCAAATTAAAGCTGTGAACAATCTCAATCTCTTCACCGTCCATCTTGATGCTGCCAACTGGTCCAGTGGTGAGAATAGTTGTACAGTATTGTTGTTGTTAAATACCATCAAGTTGAGCACAACTTATAGCGATGCTATGAATAAAAGACCTGAACCCTGTGTACCAGAAATACATTCATAGAGTTTCCCTAGGCATGTGGTTAAGGAAGTGGCTTCCATTCCTTGTTGTTCAATAGTAGATGTTTTTTTAAGCTTTTAAAATAAAATATGTGTACACACACACACACACATATATGCATACACACATATTATATATATATTATTATATATATAAAACAACCCAACTTGACAACAATATAAAACTAATCCTTGATTTGGAAATGTGAAAGTGATTTATTGTCAAAACTTAAAATAATGTGAGTAATGTAGAATAAAATTTTAGACTTAGAGGAAGGTTTAGCAAAAGTACATTGTTTTAAGAATTTTTAATTTCATAGTAGCTACAAATAAAAGCTATTTTTTAAAAAAATCACTGAAAAAAACTTTATTGGAAATTGAAGGGAGGAAAATAGGATTATGGTATATAGCTACAATATTGTTATCTGCAATTATGTGGAAAATGGAAATTACGCCTGATGAAATGGGTAACCTAGTTAAAGGATTACCTTATCTCTCTGGCTACTTTGTAGCAAAAGAAAAGAGAACTAAATCAATCCTTTTTATTACATGCTGTAGAGTTCATCACGATTCATCACAACTCTGTAAACAACAGATCAGAAACTTTCTCTAGTCTGCACCACCTTCACGATTTCTGCCAGGCCTAAGCCTACAGCATCAGTTCATCTTGGTGAGAAGCTTCCACTCTTTCTCTGACCCTCTATCTTTTCAAGCCTCATCGGTCCCTCTGGCAGCATGTCCAGAGCATATAAAATGGAGTTTGAACATCCCTGTTTGTAAAGAGCGCTCTGGTTTCACTTTCTCTAAGATGTATTTGTTCTTTCGACAGTTCATGATATTTCCAGGAGTCTTCACCACCACTACTAATCAAAGGGATCAGCTCTTCCTCTGTCATTCTTCTAAATTTCCCAACTGTCACCTGCACAGGAAGTAATTGAAAAGATTCTGATTTGGGTTAGACATCCTAATCTAATTGTACTTTAGCACTTTGGAGGGAACATTGACAGCAGATTCTCCCACCGCAATGTGTGTGTGTGTGTGTGTGTGTGTGTGTGTGTGTGTGTGTGTGTACCGTCAAATCAGATCTGACTGGTACAGGAGGAAATTGCCCCTCCTTCTCCAGCACAGCATCTGGTGGATTCAAACCACACACCTCTGGGATTGAAGTACAGTTTCTTGCCACTAGGCCACCAGAGCTCCCTAACATGTCTTTTGTTCAAATGAGAGAAGAGCCTCTGGACAAGGAGGAACTTAGTCTTTAATTTGAATATTTCTTAATACCTTCTGATAGCAACTTGTTGTTGTTATTGTTAGGTGCTGTTGAGTCAAGCCACCCTATGAACAAAAGATGTGAACACTGTCCTACCCTGTGCCATTCTCACACTTCCTCACACAAGAGCCCATTGCAGCAGCCACTGTGTCAGTCCACCTGGTCAAGGGTCCTCCTCTCTCTTTCGTCTCCTGTCCCCTCTTAGCACCATAATGCCTTTTTCCAAGGAATAGCCCTTCCTATCAATATGCACAAAGTATGTGAGGTGAAGCGCCATCATTCTTGCCTTCAAAGAGCACTCAGGCTGCACTGTTTCCAAGACATATTTGTTCATTCTCTTGGCAGTCCATTGGATGTTCAGTGCTCTTCTCCAACACCACAGCTCAAAGGCATCAATTCTTCTGTCATCCTTATTCATTCTTCATCTCTCATAAACATAACAAGTAATGGTAAAGATTATGGCCTTAATCAGATACACCTTAGTCCTCAAACTGACATCATTACTCCTCAATAATTTGGAGAGGTCCTAATTGCAGATTTTCCCAGTGTAACATATCTCCTTATTTTCTGACTGCTGGTACCAAGTGTGTTCTTTGTGGATCCAAGCAAGATGAAGCTACACACACACAGTTTCAATCTCCACTCCGTCTATCATGATGTTGCTGGTAAGAATAGCTAAGTTTGGAATTAATAAATGGTTTCTGAGTAAAATAAAACCAAACACAGCCTGGAAAATATGAAATCAACTCCTTAACATCTTTGCAACTTTAAGAGTGGTGCTTTGGACTTCATGATTCAACAAAGAAATTAAGAATGTATTAAGAAAATATTCTGAAACAATTTTTATTGTTCCTGTATACCACTGAGTTGGAACCAGCTCATAGCTTACTCTCCAGTAGGATTTCAGAGGTTTTAAATTCCGTAAGAAGAGATCACCTATCTTTCTCCTACAGTGGAGTTGAACCCTGTGCCTTAGGGATGACCGTGAAAGCTTGGTGGCCTAGTGAGAAAGGAATTGCCCTGCCCATCCAAGTTCAGATCATTCAAATCAACCTGCTGTCCTGTTGTAGAAAGATGAATGATCTCCTCGTATGTGTTTACAGCCTCTGAAAATCTGCTGGAAGATCAGCTATGAATTGATTCTGAATTTATGACAATGAGTTTGAGGGCTTGTGTTGTTTGTTTGGTTTTTAAAAATAAATGTTTGGGTGTTGTCCCTTAAAACATCTCAGCAATATGTACTGTAAAGGACTAGTCTCTAAAATAAATATGTATTGCTTTTGCTTCAATATCTTAATCATATAAAAACTCAAATGCGAAAAGTTCCTTTAAAAGTTATATATTCTTTAATGATAAAGATTTGATGAGGATAGAAACAGTGAAAGTGTAGGAGAGAACTTTAGAATCCTTCTGCTAAAAGGAAACATATTTAAAAATCTCCTTAGTATAAATATGGGATAACCTTGTTAAACAAATAATAGAAAATATTCCAGATAGTAGAAACAAGACCTTACTTAAGAGCCATCCTCTCTCTCATGGATAAAGTGTGTGCAGGCTTCCAGACCTAATCTAGGAACTTCCAAGGTTTTCTTGGCAAGATTTCTTCCCTGTTGTGAGTCACTTACTCCGTTAGTGTAAAAATTACCTTTTAATTGCATTTTTCTCTCATTCTTTCTCCTGTTCTCCTACTTCCACACACCTGTTCCTTAAGATCATTTCCCAATATTCCAACTCTTGGTTCAGTGCTTTTTGCTCTGAAACCAGAAATTCAAATTCATCACCATTAAGTTGATTGTGACTCAAAGTGACGCTGTGGAGCAGAGTACAACTGCCTCGTCATGTTTTCAACATTGTTGTTGTGTCATCTATGACTCATAGCAACCCTGTGTACAGCACTTCTGAAGCCTACCCTGTCATGAGCCAGTATCACTGACCCTGAGATACCTTACCCCATTGCACTGGGTACTGTACCAATCCATCTCATCTGGGGTCTTCCTCTCCTGCACTTTCCCTCCACCATTCCAAGCATTATCTCCTTTTCCAAGGATCAGTCCCTCCTGGCCATGTGCTCAGAGTATGAGAAACAGAGCTTCAAAACTGTAGCCTCCAAGGAGAAACTTTGTTTCACCCTCTCTAAAACAGATCAATTTGTTTCCTTGGAAATTCATGTTATGTTCAAGACTCTTCTCCCGCACCACCACTCAAAGGCATCAATTCTTCTTCTGTCACCCTTAGTCATTGTCCTTTTCTCTGATGCATATCAAGGAACTCTGAAGACCGTGACCTGGATTAGGTCCACCTTAAAATGGACATTGTTGTTTCTCAGTGCTCTGGAAAAGTCTCTGGCAGTATATTTACCTAATGCAATTCTTCTTTTGATTTCCTGACTGCTGGAGCCAAGAGGTTTGGTTGTGGGGCCAAGAAAGCTGTAATTCAAGTGTTTCTCCGTCCATCACGGTGTGGATAGTGTCCTTGCTGTTGATCTTCAACATATTTTGAAGGTTACAGACCTTGACCTTCTACAATAAGCCCTTCAGGTCCTCCTCAGTTGCAGCAAGCAAGGTTGTGTCATCTGCATATCACAGATTGTTGAGTCTTCCTCCAATCCTGATGCCAAATTCTTCCTTATAAAGCCTAGCCTCTTGAATGATCTGTTTTGCATATAGATCTAAAAGATATAGAGACATACAGTATTCCTGACATGCTCCCTTATTGATTTTGAACCATGAAGGGTGTCACTGCTTTTTTGAGGTCTGCTTTCTGGTCCAAGTATAGGCTTTGCCGGAGCATAATCAAATATTCTGGGATTGCCATTCTCCTCAAGGTGAACCACAGTTTGTTGTGATCCACCTAGTCAAAAGCCTCTGTGTAGTCAATAAAACACAGACTGATTGGCGGGCTCGGCTGACCACACTGCAGCGGGCCCACGGGAGCGTCCTGGCGGCAGCGGGCAAGGCGCGCCGGGTGCTGGTCTACGGCGGCAGGGGCGCGCTGGGCTCCAAATGCGTGCAGGCGTTCCGGGCCCGCAACTGGTGGGTGGCCAGCATCGACGTGGTGGAGAATGAGGAGGCCAGCGCTAGCGTGGTCGTTAAAATGACAGACTCCTTTACCGAGCAGGCAGACCAGGTGACCGCTGATGTCGGGAAGCTGCTGGGTGACAGCAAGGTGGACGCCATCCTTTTCGTGGCTGGAGGATGGGCAGGGGGCAACGCCAAGTCCAAGTCTCTCTTTAAAAACTGCGACCTGATGTGGAAGCAGAGCATGTGGACGTCGACCATCTCCAGCCACCTGGCCACCAAGCACCTCAAGGAGGGAGGTCTGCTGACCTTGGCCGGCGCCAAGGCCGCCCTGGACGGGACCCCTGGCATGATCGGCTACGGCATGGCCAAGGGCGCGGTGCACCAGCTGTGCCAGAGTCTGGCGGGGAAGAACAGCGGAATGCCAGTCGACTCAGCTGCCATCGCCGTGCTCCCGGCTACCTTGGATACCCCGATGAACAGGAAGTCCATGCCCGAGGCCGACTTCAGCTCCTGGACGCCCTTGGAGTTCCTGGTGGAAACCTTCCAAGACTGGATCACGGGGAAAACCCGACCAAGCTCAGGAAGCCTCATCCAGGTGGTGACGATGGGAGGGAGGACGGAGCTGACACCCGCCTATTTCTGAGGTCATCTTGGTGCCTGCCGGAATGTTCTCAGAGTGCTGCGAGAGGTCACAGCTGGCTCTGTGTTTTCTGGCATCCCCTGTGTTGCTGTGACAGTGTCAATCCTGTTTTTCTAGTGTATGTTTGCTCTCCTGAGACAGTGTCCAATATTTGTGGAAAATTAAAGTGTGTGAGGATGGCAGCCGCCCAGTGACACCCATCAGCGTTCACTGCTTCAGCTCTGAACGTCTGGCTTTAGCCCTTTTGTAATGACGTCAGACCCTGGTGATGTGTCTGCCTCCTACAGTGGCTGCTACCTTGATTGTCTCAATGATTTTACTGGTTTGGGAATGTTTGGAGGGTGCAGCTATTTGTAAATGTATACGTCACGGGTGTGGGGTTTGCAGCCTTGAATGAAACTGCCTTAAAGTTCTAGTGATGAGACCCAAACCCAGCGGACTGGCTCCCTGTGTCCCGGCAGTTGCCAAGTGTCCCCTGGCCGAGGACTAAGGCCTCAGCTGTACAGGAGAAGTCCCTGTGATGATCTGGGGTTTTCCCACCTAATAAATGCACTTCGTTTAAAAAAAACAAAACAAAACAAAACAAAACAAAACAAAACAAAACCCCACAGACTGATTGATAAGCCTCTGGTACTCTTTGCTTTCTGCCAAAATCCATCTGATAATGCATCATGTTTTCAATCCAGGGTTCAAATCATTAATCTTTCTTAATTTTTTTCTTTGACAACTGAGTGCTTTATCCATTGTATAACCAAGGCACCTAACATTCAGTCTATTCCATTTTTCCATATGAGCTCTGAAATAAACATACGTTCATCCTTACTTTTTTTCCTTACGCAAAACGTTTCTTTCTTTTTCTTTCTTGGTTTAACTTCCTTTAGTTGTTGTTGTTGTTGTTATGTGCCATTGAGTTGCTTGCAACTCATAGTGACCCGATGTACAACAGGCCTAAACTCTGCTCTGTGCTGTGCCAATCACACTGCCTCTGACACATCCATCCCGATTGCCCCAGTCACTGAATCAATCCACCTCATAGAGGGTCTTCCCCTCCTGCGCTGTCCCTCCACCCTCCAAAGCATGATGTCCTTCTCTAAACACTGGTCTCTCCTTACAACATGTCCAAAGTATGTCAGATGAAGCCTCAGAATCCTTGCCTCCAAGGAGCCACCCTGTTTGACCCTCTCCAGGATGAATCTATTTGTTTTTCTAGCAGTCCATGGTACCCTCAGTACTCTTTTCCAATACCAAAGCTCAAGGGCATCAATTCTCCTTCTATCCTCCCTAGTCATTGTCCAACTCTCTGTTTGTTTTCTTAATCACATACAATTAATTAAGAGAGCTCAACTGATTTCAAAGAAGAAAATATTAAAGGAATGCAGCATTAGAAAAAGCCAATGCAATGAGAATAAAATCTTAACACGTGGGAACAATTTCTCCCTGATCCTATCAAAGCTATTCTATCACTACATCACGTCATTCATAATGTGGCCCATAGTAACTAAGAGACTGACAAGTAGCATATAGTTTTTTCTTCATAGTTTGAATTAAAACCTTTTCTTTTTATATTGTCTTATCTTTCTCACCTTTTTATGTCTTTGCTGGTATGTGCCATCACATGTCAAGTAGGAACCAATGACCCTCCTGGAGATTGTCAGAGACAGTAAATCGCACAGAATGGATGACCCTGGAGGACATTATGCTGAGTGAAATATCTCAATCACAAAAGGACAAATACTGCATAGTGCCCCTGTTTTAAAACAGGGACTAACATCTGGGTTGAGGGGAAAGTGTGAAAAAGGGGACAAATAATGTATACTGCATTGAAAGAGATGAGGGAGAGAACTGTTTAAAAGTGACATATGATTGCATATTATTATCATGACAGGAGTCTAGAATGAAGGCTGAATACTGGAGTGCACCTGGGAGGGAGGGATTATATAACCATGAAAGAATTTTTCTTTTACTTTTCAAAGAGAAGAGAGAATTTGGGTAGGAGGCAGATAGGGAGAAAAATCCGATAATGAAGAAATGGGGGGGAAAAGTAACAATTTAATGAAAAAAAAAATCAAACCATAAAAAAAGGAAACTGAGTCTATCTATCTAAAACTAACATGACTTCATATCATATTTTAAGATTGATTATTTTCACTGGAAAAACTCTTCATTTTTTCTTTTACATTAATTAAAAAATATATATAGTCTAACAATAATAAAATCCAATGATGTATACTTTATATGCCTTTCACTTATTAGAATTAAGAATACCTTAGCTATTTGTATTTATTTATTATATTGCCTTTGTTTTTCATAGAAAATTTATTTTATGAAACACCAGAAATTACATAATTACTATACTTATAGACAGCTCTGCTGGTTTCGTTGTAAGGAATTGAACTGTTTTAATCTAAAGGAATATGGTTCAAACCCAATAGCTGCTCTAGGGGAGAAGACTGGAAAGTTTCTTCTCCTGCAGTTTACTGCTTCTAAAAACCCATTGGAGGTTCAACTATGAGAGAGCTACAACTTTACAATACATAAAGACTGTAAACTTACAGTAGGCTGAGTATTTGGCAGCATCTTCAACTATCATTTAAATAAATGCACCAGCAATCAGAGCCAAAGAAAATATAGAAAATTTCTACCAAGGGAGCTCTGGTAGCCTAGTGGCAAGAAGCTTCACTGCAATCCCAGAGGTATGTGGTTCGAATCCACCAGATACTCTGCTGGAGAAAGAGGGGCAATCTCTTCCTGTACCAGTCTGATCTGATTTGATGGTATACAAATACAAAATAATAACACAATTTTTTAAAAAGTGAAAATTTCTACCGACTTCAGCAATCAGATATTGATCGAATGAGCTACCAAGATGCATTCATAAGAATGAATGTGTGGAAAACAAGAGTTGTAAACAGGAATAAGAATCAGTAGTTGAAAAACATTGTCTTGGAGACAGAAATGAAACTGAAGATAGAATGATAAAATTTTATGCCATCAACAATTTATTCATTGTAAATACCTTTTCTAAGAAACACATCATTTAGCTATATACACGGACTTCACCTGATGATCTACACAAGAATCATATTGATAACATCTGTGAAACAATTATTGGAGAAGCTCTTTATCGGCTGTGAAAACTAGGCCAGGTGCTGATTGTGGAACAGACTGTCAACTACTCACATACAAGTACAAACTGAAGCTAAAGAAAATTTGATAAAGCCCACAAGAACCAAAAATTAATCCTGAGTCTATCCCACCTGATTTTAAAAAACATGTCAAGAAAAACTTTGATGCCTTGGACACTAATGAATGAAGACCAGATGAGCTATGAGAGCATATTAAGAATATTCTCCATGGTTAATGCAAAAAGTCCTTACAAAGGGGAAGAAAAGACAAAGATGGATGTCAAAAAAAGACTCTGAATATTGCACTGGAGTGCTGAGAAACCAAAGCAGAGGGACGAAATCAAGATGTTAAAGAGCTGAACAGAAGATTTCAAAGGGAAACTAGGGAAGAAAAGGCAAAGTACTATAATGAAACGTGCAATTAGCTGAAGTCAGAAATCAAAAGGACCTTACCTGTTCAACATTTCTGAAGATGAAGGAACGGGAGAACAAATACGAGTCTCAATTTGCAATATTTAAAGATGCTATGAGCATAATATTGAATGATTTAAGATGCATCAAAAGAAGATGGAAGGAATACATAGAGTCACTGTACAAGAAAAAAATTGGCGATGCAGAAGAATTTCCTAAACCAGTTTATGAACAAAAGGCAAAGGAAGGAGGAAGTTCAAGCTGCTGTGAAGAAATTGGCAAAAATCAAGGGCCCAGGAATTGATAGAATACTAATTGACATAATTCAACAAACAGATGCTGCCCTGGACATGCTCAACAATTTGTGCCAAGAAATCTGAAGGCTAGCTACCTGACTACCTACCTGGGAGAGATCCATATTTCTTTCCCATTCTGAAAAAAAGTGATCTGACAGAATGTGGAAATTATTGAAAAATATTATTAATATCACATGCAAGCAAAATCCTGCTGAAGATTATCCAAAAATGACTTGATCTGTCTATCAATAGAGAACTATAAGAAAGTACAAACTGAGTTAAGAAGAGACCATGACAATAGGGAAATCATTGCCAATGTCAGATGAATTCTGGATACACAAAGGCTTTTGACTGTGTAGACAACAAAAAATTATGACTAACCTTGAGAAGAATGGGAATTCCAGAACACCTGATTGTGCTCATGCGAAACCTATACATGGAGCAGATGACAGTACTCAGAACAGAGCACAGAAGCACTGCATGATTCAAAATCAGGAAAGAAGTGTGTCAGCAATGTGTCCAGTCTCCACATCTCTTCAATCTATACATGGAACAGATCGTTAGGGAGAAAGATCTTTACAAGGAAGAATGTTGCATCGGAATTGGAGGAAGAGACATCAACAACTTGTGTGATGCAAATGACACAACCTTGCTTGCTAAAACTGAGGAGGACCTTGAGTGTTTGCTGCAGAAAGTCAAGGACTGTAGCCTTCAATATGGATTGAAGCTCAAAGTCAAGAGAACAAAGATTCTCACCACTGGGCCAATTGGAAGAACCATAATAGATGGAGAAGAGATGGAGATTGTCAACAATTTCCGCTAGCTTGGGTCTGCAATTAACCCCCTTGCAAACAGCAGCCAAGAAATCAAAAGACAAATCAAACTGGGAAAGTCTGCCGTTAGGGACCTCTCCAGAGTGAAGAAGTGCAAAGCTGTCGGTCTAGAAACTAAGGTGCACCTGATCCAGGGTTTGGTCTTTTCAATTAGGAATTATGTACCAAAGATCTGGACAATAAATAATATTGACAGAAGAATAATTAATGCCTTTAAGTTGTGGTATTGGAGAAAATTTTTGGACATTCCATGGTCTGCCAAGGGAATAAACACGTCTATCCTGGAGAGAGGGGGTGATACCTGTTAATATGACTATTATTCAAATACATGGTAAGGA